CTCTTTTTCCTCTTCCTCTTCTCCTCTTCCTTCTTCCTTTTAAATACCATCCTGTGCTCGCTGCATCCCTCAGTGGTGTGTGAGAGGCTGTCATAAAATCCAAGAGTACTGCCAAGTTTTCCAGGACCTTCCTACACAATTTTCTGCTAACTGACTCCTCAACTCCATTTAACATAGTTTTTAAGGAGGTGCCTAGAAAAATTTAGTGTAAGACAGATATTTTCCATACCCCTTCTTGTGCCCATACATGCCTGTCCTCCCTATTCCCCAAATTTCCCATCCAAACTAAACAGATGTTACAACTCATGAGGCTGCATTGAGACAACCTATCATTGCCCACATCAGAATCACCATTTCCTCCCCCTTGTTTTTATTTCCTCTTTACGCAGAGTCTTGCTATATGCTCTATACTGTTTTCAAAATAACTATGTAGCCCAGGCTATCACCAAGCCTGTGGTCCTTCTCTCTCAGCCTCTTGAGTCCTGGGAATCCAGGCCTATGATATACTCACCAGTGCCATCCTGAGTCATTCTACCAACATAAAATTCTCTGTGCTTTGTCTTTTCATTTCTCTGTCTGCCCAACCTCTGGTAACCACTGGAAAATTTCCAAATATTTAGAGACAACATATTTTTAAATAACACATAGGCAAAAAACTCACAACAAAGGAAAAACTATTTTGAATTCAGTGAACATGGAAATGCCACTTAATACAATGGGAACGATACAATGAAAGCCATGCTCAAAGGGAAATTTCCAACCCCGAAGAAGGTTCCAAAATAAAGCATCTATGCCTTAAGAAACTGGAAATGCAGCACAATTCAATCTGAGTCAAGCAGAAGAAAATAACTAATAAAAATGAGAGAAAATCCCAATGAAAAAGAATTGGAAATGAAGAGATAACGGTACCAAAGGTTAGAATTTTAGAAATATCAATGGCATTGATATTTCATAGCTATAAGACAGACTAAGGAACTAATGAGACAGAAACAAAATGGTGTCAGACGTCAGAGTGGAGACATTACTCAGATCATACCCAGTGGACATTACAAGGACAGTGAATGAGTAACAGCAACCCTGTGCTCAAAGATCAGATAGATGAAATGACCCACTTCTGGAAAGGCAAGATCTGCCAAACTTCATAAAATGAAAAATACACAATCAGAATATGCCTATAGAAGTAAATAACTCAAATCAGTGACCACAAACTTTCCAAAATAGTAAACCCTCTGCCTCAGGGATTCACTTTATGTTCAAATATTTCAAGTAGAAATTATACCAAGTCATCATCTCTTCTTCTTCTCCCCCTCCTCCTCCTCTCCTCCTTTTCATTCATAGTTTTCTTTTTAATGTCTTTTATTTTTTGAGATTATAATGTAATTGCATCATTTCCTTCTTCCTCTTCCTCTCTTTAAACCTCCCCATATACCACTCCTTGCTCTCTTCCAAATTCATGTCTTCTTTTGTCATTAATTTCTGTCATATACACACACATACACATATATATACACATACATATACATTCCTAAATACATAAATATGACCTTCTTAGTCTGTATAATGGTACTCACATATACACGTGAGTATACGTGGATATACTGGTAGTGGATAGCCAGTTATTGTCTTTTCCCTGGGGAAGACTATTTCTCTTGCTCTACATGGAACTCCTTAGTTGCCTGTAGTTCTCTGTGTACAGTTGAAGCTTCATGGGCTTTCCCCTGTCCATGTTAATATCTTTATTGTTACTGTCCTTGCTCATGTTTAGGCATGTTGGTGAGACTTCAAGGGTGTAACTTACAACATTGCTAAGAGACACAATCTCACAGCAAACACCCTGTTTTATACCAATTCTTTGTGATTTCTTTCAGAAACTAGAAATAGAGGGAGATCTTCTAAACTCATTCTCCCATAAGCCCATATACAAATACCTCAACAAATATTAGTAAATCAAACCCAACAATGTGTAGAAACATAACCAAGTGACATTTATTCTGGCTATGCAAAACTCATTCAACATTCAAAAAAATCAATATCATCAGCCATAACCACATGTTAAAGAAGAGCCATAATCATAGGAACAGATGTAGAAAAAGAATTTAACAAAATCTAACACTCATTCATGTTAAACCATAGAAATGGTTTAATAATAACCTCCAGAAAACTTTGAGGAGCATTTCTACCACTTGATA